AAAAAGTACGAAAACTTATTTGGTTTGCCTTCTTTCAGAAATGGTTGTGGAAAATTATTTTGGGAAGAGAGTTTTACAAAAAGTGATTAATTTGATGTGCATGAGAGAGAAAGTTATTTTGGAAAGTAGGTAACCAAATAAAATTTTTGTTTGGTTTGATGAATCTATAAATTTGTTTGTAGAGAAATTTTCCCAACATTTTATATGAAAAACAAACCAAACAATCCCATTATTTCTATGATTTGAATCCATAACACTCAAATTATAATAGATTTATTTTATTTTATATTATTATCAGCATAATAAAACAACCTTGCCATTGCGGCAAGGGCCTCCCTCCGTCAATATGATCAATTTTTAAAAGGCATTCACTCAAAATAAATAAATAATAATGACTCTACACAACCGTTAATTTAGGCAATGATTTAATCGTACGCATGTAAGCGGGACCAATTTTAAAAACACATATTTTGTTTTCTTTTCATAAATCTTGATCTATTTTTTAGTATTTTGATAAAGTAGACAGATATATCACACATTTAAAAAACACTTCATTCTATCAAGTATTTTTCTCATTCAGTGAGACTGGACAAAATTGGACAAGTCATACAAACATCTTAAATCATAGTGTAAGTTTTGTAGATAATTAAATACTTGTTCCATTGAGTTGAAAGAACTCGATTGATGGCACGGTGTATGTTTTAAGACTCTTTTCATCAAATTAATCACTAGTGTATGCACGGTATGGTGTGAGTTGAAAGAACTCGATTGATGGCACGGTGTGAGTTGAAAGAACTCGATTCTATCAAGTATTTGTTCCATTCATAGTGTATGTTTTAAGACTCTTTTCATGCATATATTATAACTAGTGTATGTACGTGCCTGAAGGGACGGTGCAATTAATAATGGCCCCGTTTGGTGTAGTTGTTAAAACAACTTATAGATTATAGCTTAACAGATCATAGATTATGACTTTAATCAGAAGTTGTTAATCTGTTTGGTGTAGCTGTTGGATTATAGATTTAAGTTGTTGAGTAGTGTTTATTAAATAAGCTGTGAAATAGCTTTTTCAATTAATTTTTATTTTTTGTTTGTCTACATTTCTCATAAAAAATAATAATAATAATCTATAGTCCATTCGAGTCTTTTTATATTTTTAAAAAAAAAATAAAAAATAAAAAAATTTAAGAGTATAATCATAAATTAACATGTCCACAGCAGAAGCTGATAATCAGAAGTAAGGGGTGAGCAGCTTCTCAGAATCAGCTTTTTTGAGTTAAAATAAGCTGTTAGAATCAGAAACTGTTTGAAATAAGTTTAACAAAATAGTTCAAAATAACTTTTTCAAAGCTAAAAGCCATAAGTTGGCTCTGAAAAGCTGAAACAAACACCCCCAATGACTTCTAATTATATAAATCAAAATAAAAATTATTAAAACATAATGATAAGATTTTCCTTTTCAATGGTGGTGGACAGTCACAAAGCGGAAGTGACGATAAGTCCCTTCGTTCAATACCCATTTCAAAACTTTTTTAAATTTTCTTAAGTTTTGTGAGGAAATTTTAATTTTAATTTTATAAAATTTTCTTAATGCTATTATATGTATTACAAATTTAGCTTATTAAATTTTTTAAAATTTCTATGACAAGATTATAAAATTAAATGTTAGTATTTTATGATGAAATGTCTTCAAATTATTCTAATATTAGAGTTAATATTTTTTATAAAAATTATTTATTTTATTGAATGTATATTAAAAATAATGCATGATATAGCGGTTTGGTTTGATTTTTTAAATTATTTTTTGGTTTTTTTTGAAAAAATATAAATAAATTTGACAAAAAGAAATTGTTTGGTTTGATTTTCCAAATGGTTGTGGAAGAATGTGGCACCTCCCAAAATTCAATTTTTTTTTGTTGGTTAGCTTGGAGGAACAGTTTTTTTTTTTTTTTTATGATGAAATGTCTTGAATTGAATAAATACACCTAGAGGGTAAAATAGTATAGTGAAATAAATCAGGTGACAAATACCATTTCTCATATAGTATAATAGGTGGCAGATTCAAGTATACAACCTCACCTTGATATTACCAAGTGAAATACTGAATAAAGGTGTATATATATGTAGTACTATTATAAAGAGAAGTCTTCTCTGCGTGTTCACGTCTCATATTTTGGGTTTTTCAAAAATACCCCTATATCAGTTATATGGCCAGTTATGCACTAAATTCAATTTTTTTTTTTTTTTTTTTTACCAAATCTCTAAACTTTTGATTTTTTTAGATTCATTTCAATTTTCAGATTTTGAATTCAATCATACAATTTACAGTCTTATTTTCTGAAACAAAATGATCATATATATGTAACCATGTGGACCTCGATTTTCATTGAAATTATCAGTCCACCTTAATTCTCAATTCATGAATTTCATAATATGACATTAATAATTCTCAATTATATGAATTTCAATTCGCATAATTTTATTCTTAATTAAAAAAAATTACTTTTAAAACCCTAATTTAATTTATCCTAACCACTACATCTCTAAAATGGTTAACATGTATCTTGTCAGATGTTGTCATTGACAGAGAGCGTAGAACTCATAAATTTGTGTTAGGTGTAACGAAATAACTGTGAGACTTATCATTTGATGATTGGTAAAGGTCAAGGACCTAACGGTGCCCTAGACCACCTGATATTTTTTTTCCCCTACTACACCTTATTTGTTTGTGCAATCACAAATATTTTTGCAACGTATAACATTTTGGTATCAATTTAACTCTCAAATATAGTAGAGAAGGTAAAAGAGGTCTTTTAAATATGACCAAGAATTTTTTGTCTTTAAATTCATTTAAGTCCTTTTATCTTAATACATTCTGTCAATCGTTATATTATATGAGAATATGAAAACATAAGTTTCAAAGCATAATTTCAAGAATAGGAGTGTATTTAGACATATGATTCAAAACTCTCTTAAGTGAGATACATAGTTAGGCCATGTTTGATAACTCTCTTAGAGAATGGAATTGATTAACAAATTAGTGAGTCTCACATAAATCCCGTTTACTTGAAAAAGAAAAGTATAGGTTAATTCATCCAAGGTGAGATTAAAATTCTCATAATAAGTACCTTTCATTGGATTGGACATTGTAAACGTTTTTTTTATAAATATCTTTCTATTACTCAATCTCATCATACTTATAATTTTAATAAACTGTATTGAACAACCAAAATGAAATCTCTCTGCACTTGCAGGTACCCTTCATTTTCAAGTCATGTCTGCTTTTGTGCTGATGAGTAATGTTCTACTTTAAGCTAAGAATATGAGCAATGTGCATATAAACCTAAATCAATATTGGGAATCAATTGAGTGAAATTAAGGCATCAAGAGGGACAACCTTAGAATGAGGATGTAGGGCATAAATTTTGGTTGTTAGTGTCCAACCGTGTCAAGAGCTTTGGGTGCTAAACCAACCAACTTGCTGTGACACTATCTGTATGCCTTGTCTCCATTGGATGGATCCTATTGGTTGTGCAATCCATTGTGTTAATGGCATATTTGGAACTTAAATTTGTCATGAAAAATTATAGAAAAGATGTATAGACTCATTCAGATATTGGCTAGTTTATTGAAACAATAGTCTTCGAATAACAAAGTTTACTTGGAAAAAATACATAAAATACATATCAAAGAAATGAGATTGATTTCAAATATGGGTCTCACTATCTATAATTAAATCTATAAAATTAAGTAGTGGTGAGGATAAATTAAGTAGCTTATTAAATTTCATAATACCTAATTTCAAACCCTAATTTCAAACCATAATTTCCTTTAATTCCTCTTAACAAGCAAAAAATAAAATTTCTAATTCAACAAATATAGGTTGGTTTATTCACAATTCAAAATTCCAAACCCTAATTTCAAAAAATATAGACAGGATTCACAAGCATAATTTCTGATTTCTGATTCACAAGCAAAATTCCAAACACTGATTTCTAATTTCAAAAAATTCCAAACCCGAATTTCTGATTTCAAAAAATTCCAAACCCTAATTTCTGAAACGACAAGCATAATTTCTGGTTTCACAATTCAAAACCCTAACATTTTATGATTCATAATTTTATAGCCACACATTTAAAACCCTAATTCAAAACCCTAACACATTAGAACCTTAACACATTTAATAATTGACATTTAAAACCCTAACATTCACATTTTCACAAACACACATTCATATTTTAAACCACACATTCACATTTTCACAAACACGAGAAATACATAAAAATCAAATGAGACAGAGAGAGATAGATACCATACTACGGACAGAGAGAGAGCAGAGACAGAGAGTGAGAGCAGAGAGAGAGTCTGAGAGCAGAGGGAGAGCGAGAGCGACAGTGAGTGAGAGTCTGAGAGCAAAGGGAGAGCGAGAGTAGTCTGAGAGCAGAGGGAGAGAGAGAGCCAGAGTCGAAAAAGCGTAAGTGTAAAAAACGTGATTGCAAATGAGGGGGCTTGGGTTTTTTATATAAGTTGTAAAAACGTGGTTTCAATCCACGCTTTCATTTACTAACAGTGAAAGCGTGATTTCAAATCACGTTTTCTTAAGAAAAAACAATGCACAATGAAAGAGTGATTGTGAATCACATTTTCTTCAGAAATGAATATGCACAGTGAATTCAGAAAACAAATTACACGACATGCACAGTGAAAGCGTGGTTTGGAACCATGTTTTCTTTAGAAAAAAAAATTATGTTAAAAGTATGGTTTGCAACTACGCTTTCTTAATTAAAAGCGTAGTCCTTAATAGCGCTTTCACTGTTCATCAAATTTTCGGCGCCAAACAGTGAAAGCGTAATTTGTAATAGCGCTTTAGCCTAGTTTGAAAATTAAAATGATACTAAATTAGCTTAATATGGAAAAACCCTCCTTATTGAATGGTTTGTATTGATTTTTTATTTTTTTTTTATTTTTATAAATATATTATTTTAATAACGACCATGGAGATGAGAATTTTAGGGCATTAAAATAGTGCTGGTTGGATTAGGTCCGATAAACCTCTATAAACCCCCCAAAAGCCATCCATTTTTCGCTGAAGTTGTGAATCGATGGCATTTGCCTCTTCTCTTCGCCGCGTTCTCAAGCCTTCGTCGATTCTTCAATCACACTTCACTTCGATTCGTTCAAATTCAACCCTCACCTCTCCAAAGCTCTTCGTTAGCGGTACCTCTCTCTCTCTCTCTCTAAATATATGTATTCAATTTAGGGAAATTCAACCCTTTAAAAAGTTATACTATACGAACCCTAATTACGTAATTTTCTTCGATCAATTTTTTTTAATTATAATATTATTTTAGTTACGGTGCTTTTTCTTTCTTTTTTTTAGTTATATCACATATTATTATAGCATTACTTTTTTTGATTATGACTTAAAAAATTGAAATTATGCCATTCTGGATATAAAGGTGTGCACCATAGTGTTCCCTTAAATTTAACCCTCGCTATTCATACTCTGTAATCTTATTCTGATCTGATGAGGTGTGTCGATGAGTTTTCCCATTTCTGTATAAAATGGCAAGCTTAAATTTGATTTATTTATGAATGTGTTTTTTTGTTTTTGTTTATATATAGGGTTATTCACATTAAGATCCTAAACTATGGAGAAGTATCATTTTGATCCGCACAAATAGACCTTAAATTATTGAGTAAATTATAAAAGTATACAAATGTCCTTTAATTAAAAATGTACAAATTGAACTGTTAACAAACTGGTCAAAGTGAAACATTCTAATAATTTAAGAGGTCTTTCTGTATATTTTTTATAGTTTAAGGAACAAAGTGATATTTCTCAATAGTTTAGGCGTCTCTGTGTAAATAATCCTTATATATGTTTATATTATACTAGTGCAAATGCGATGTATTTGTATTTTTATATTTAAATTGTTGGATAGTTTGATGATTGAAAAAAATTGATTACCATTCTATGAATGAGAAAAAATGTGACAATTATGGATGGAAAAGGGTGATAATTATTGGGTAGAAAGGGCATTCTTGGAAAAAAGTAAAAAACATGGTAGCATTGGTACCAACTCAAGTGTACGTTTTATATAATAGAAACTCAAATAAAAAAAAGAAGCTAAAAGAATTCATTGCCTAGTTTTTTCTTCTTCTTCTTCTCTCATCATTCAATTTATTTATGTTTCATAAGATATAAGCAAAAGTTATACTATACCAAATACACTGTCACAAATTTCCAAAGTTTAAAAGAAAAATCCATGTCGTCCCAATAAATTGCATCAAACAAACCCTTGAAAAGGTTGTGTTCGATTCCCAATTCCATGACCTTTTGAAAAAGATGTTTAATTCTCATGGAAGATAGATATGCATGGTTTAAAATAGAATTTGTTCTAAATTTGTGCATTTGACCGAAATAACTCGCAAATTTGAACCAAATTTGTTCAAAATTCGTGAATCCATGCTCTGGCTTGCGGTTGCCATTTCAAATACATGAATTAGGTTACCTAGCTAGGAAATAGGCTTGCTTTTGATAATTCTAGTACATGTTTTTTATTTTTATTTATTTTTGTTTGTTTATAATGGAATCGATGTATGCATTGTAAATTCGTAACTAAGAAATTGTAGCAGCATGTCTGGAACTCCAACATAGTAGGCTATTTTCTTTGGTGTTTGTTTAGATTTTCAAATGTTACTTGGAATTAGGATTATTTTGGTATGAGAAATGGGAACGGGAATGTGCTATACAACATAAATGTGCTATGATAGGAATAGCATGTATAGATCACACTAGAGGTTATTTAAGTACTTCCAAACATTAGATCAATTTTTGTTAACAATCAAACACCTAATAAAACATACTGTTATTCTAGCAGCATTGCGGCTTCTATTTCACATTTGTCAACCAAAACTCCATTCTCTCTAGAGCCCAATTCAATTCAATTGTATCTAGATTTTTTTCCTCCTAAGATAAACATTTACGAAATAATTAGGAAATTTTTTTTGGATTGCTAAATTCACCATTTTGTAGTGAAAAAGTTCAGGGAAATAGGTCTAACTAAGAAGATTAAGCTGTTGATGATGAATTTGGTCACAATTGTGGGTAGATAGAGAATGGATAGTTGGCAAGTGGCCAAGAACTCCTAGACCTGTGTGAGTTAGTCTGCTTTGAGGCTCACTATCACATGGAATATTGGAAGGAGAGGCTGTAGATGTGCAGCTATGAGTTCTTGCCCAAAGGTCACCACTCTTTATAACCATATGAAAGGAGGGGAAATCAATATATATTTTGTGATGAAGTATTTATCTTATCAAGTAACAAAGTTATGCAAAGAAAGGATATGCCAGGTGTTCCCTGGAGTTCCCTCTTGCACCAAACAAAGGCATATTACTATTTTCTGTTTAGAAACCAGATGCAATATATATTGATTATTGAATAAATAAACTATACTTGCAAAATAATTAATAAATGCTTTGATGGTTTATAGGTGATAGTGCATTTCTTGTGGTGATCTTTTCTAAGTTGAAATAATAATAAAAAAGAAACTAAAAGCATTCATTCCCCAACTGTCCCCCCCACCACAGTACATCAAACACACTAGCATAGATTTCCAAAATAAAATTAAAAAAAAAATTAATCTATGGCAGCTTGAATAAATTGCACCAACTATGCCTTTCATAGGTTGCATGTTTGATTCCAAATGCAATGACCTTTTGAAGATGTTGAATTCTTGTGGCAATCTGTCAGACGTGTGGCTTACAATAGAATTTGTTTTAAATTTGCGGATTTGACCAAAATAACCCATGGTTGATCCAAATTTATTCAAAATTCGTGAATTTGGAATGCGGTTTTCCATTTTAAACCAATGGTTTAGGTTACCTAGCTATGAACTAGGCTTCTTTTTTTTTTTTTGGGTGGATAACTAGGCTTGTTTTTTATGATACTAGTAGATGTTTTTCTGTTTATAATGGAATCAGTGAGTGTCATAAATTCATAACAAAAAAATTGTAGTAGCATGCCTGAAACTCTAATCTGGCAGGTTCTTTTCTTTAGTGTTTGTTTAGTTTTTCCAATGCTACTTGGAATGTGAATTACTTCAGTATGAGAAATGGGAATGGGAACACGATACACAACATGAATGTGCTACGATAGGAATTCTTGTTTATAGCTCACAGTCTTAGAATCTGTTTAAGTAACATTAGACCAATTTTTTGTTAATGATCAAACATTTAATGAAACATAGACTGTTATTTTTTGGACCATTATAACTATTTTTTACATTTGTTCAACCAAAACTCCACATTCTCTAGAATTTAATTCAATTGTATTTGGATATGTTTCCTCCTAAAGTAAAATTTTACAAAATAAATAGGAAATATTTTGACTTTTGTAGAAATCCTCCCAAGCATGAGTTGGTTGACCAGCAGCCCACGAGGTTAATTCTCAACCATACAAAATACTTTAAATCTCGGTTTTTTTTTTTAACCGATTACAGCAAAATTAAACACCACTTTAGGAAATAAATTTGACTGTTTGAATATGGGAATTTTATTTCAAAAACATGTATTTGGTAAAAACAAAAAATCTTTAATCCCCACCTTTGAGCTGTCACAGTGTAATGTAAGTGTTGATGTGTGCATGGTTGCAGTTTAACTGTTCGATAAATTTTCCCATTGAATATTGGTTTTTGGTACCCATAAATGTTTTTGAGCTCTGAGAAATCATTGCTTTCTAATTACTACAACTAAAACCAGTAACACCAGAGCTGTATGTCCCAACTTTCAACTAGTTTTTTTTTTTTTTTTAATCATCTTTTTAGTTTTCAAAAAGTGTCCATACATTCAATAGAAGGGAAGTTACATCCCTGATGCTGATACTGGAATGATTGATTACATACCAAAGGTTTCAAATATCAGAAGAGGTAAAGTAGAAACAGCTATGGTTCTAGTTAAACATTAATTTAGCTCATTTAGTCAAGTCTTCAGTT